AGAGCATTTACTGAGTTTAGTTCGGTATTGTTAAAAACATCTCATTTGCAGCCAGAGTAAGGGGGGCTTAACACTTAATGCTACTGCAATATTTAAATCTTAAATACTGGAATTACTGTCACTTTTTACTTCTGCTATTCTCATAGTCCGTTCATGTGGATGTAATGGTCTCTTATTTTCTCAAGGAGACAGAAAGCATCTCAAATACTATTACAAATATATGCGATGCGGAGTCAGCTTCTTCCAACTGTACTTCAAAAAGTCTTCCTTCTGACTCACTAGGTAAAATAAAGTGGAAAAATTTCATGGGGGAAAAAAGCATAGGAATTTAGGAATATAAGTGGGTAATTATTTGTGGATTAAAAAAATCTCTGTACTATACTACGAAGTAAATATATATATATTTTTTTACCCAAATTTTAATGGCTCAACTCAGGAGAAAGAGTAACAGTAAAAATATTTTGATAGCTTTGCTCCTTTTGGGGGAAGAGGGAGGCTTAGTTCTGCAAAGCTAATGTATAAGCTGCTGGAAGCTTGTGGTAGAGGGGGGCAATAGCTTAGAACTTGGGCATATTCTGGTTATAGGGGACTGCTGAGGAGTTTGAATGTTCTTGGGTAAACTCAAAGTTATATGGTACTGTGTATCTCATTGCACAACACAAATATATACAAGCCTCTTCCTTTTAGAAGGTTCTATATACTGCAGTTAAAATTTATCAATGAGTTATTTGGTCATTGAACTCTTTCTCTGTTTTGGGTTAGCAGAGAACAACTTTGTTCCACTTGACATACATAGGATTAATACACACCAAAGAACACAAGCGTCTGTGTGGATTTCCTTTTGTGAAATTTATAATGAATATGTGTATGACCTATTAAATGTATTATCTACATCAAAAACTCAGAAGCGCAGAGTCTTAAGAATTTGTGAGGATCAAGGAGGAAATTCTTATATTAAAGGTAATAATACTGTTTTATGACCTTGGCAGTTTCACAGAATTTCTTTCATCAGAAGTGTATGTAAAAGGTCTCTTTTCACAGACTTAAAGTGGATTAACATTCAGAGCACTGAAGAAGCCTGCAAAATACTAAAAATAGGAAACAAGAACCGAAGCTTTGCTTGTACTAGAATGAATGAGCAATCAAGTAGGAGGTTTGTTCCTCTAATTATAAGCATACTCTGTCTCTTTTCTTTTAAGGGGAGGGAGGAGGGGAAGGGAGGAGAAGACTTCAGAATATGTTTGAAATGAGCCACTCTTCAATAATAGCTTAAGACTTTCCTTGATTATTTTGGTTTTATTATGAAATTCTTTCTGGAAGAAAGCTAGGAGAGGCCCTATGACTTTAATAGCAGCTGGATTTGGGTTGCTATTCATGGCTTTGGACAACCAAAAAGATCAAATCACATTCATTATTGAGTGCCAACAGGGCTATACATCTTAGCAAATACTAATGGTGCTGAGTGGGAATGGCTGTGTGAGGATGTTGAAGGAAAAGCTGGCTAATTCTTCATCACTGGCAGTATAATTCTTGGAAACCCAGAGTCTGGCAGTAGGGTATGTAGGAAGGAGCGAGTCATGCCGTACCTTTCAGTGCTGCTAGATTATCTAGATGCCTTTAGCTTGCTGTGTTGTAGCTGAGCTTACTTGGTATCTTAAGAATTAAGCCCCTAGCTCTTACCCAACTCTAGGAGACAGATCAGGGAGAATCTGGTTTGATGGAGTGGGAGGAAATAAATAGAGAAGGTTTGTATACTTTCTGTTGAAAATCCCTTCTTACTTGATTTTAATGCCCTCTTACTAATTTGTCCTTTAAGTGTGGAAGGGCCATGTTGTATATTTAGCTAATATAATCGTAGTGTTACTAAGCCTGCTTTTTCTCTAAAAAGCAAGAGTTATATGCTGTTCTTTAATGGCATAGCTTCCATTAAATTTCATGGTATGATTCCACCTGAATTTCACTCAAGCCTAAAATAGTGCAGAAAAGAACTGTGGTTTTCTGGCAGAGTTTTGTGCCTATAATGTCCTCTTTTTGTTCCAGAGAATATGCTGACTTCCACCTAGCTTGTTTCTAAATTGTGGTTTTTGTTTGTTTGGTTTTGTGTTTGTTGGGGTGGTTTGTTTGTTTGGTTTTTTTTTAGAAATTTCATTCTTAAACTGTGGGTTGGTGCTGAGGAGTAAAGCATTGCTTTAAAGCTATACGAGGAAGTTTGTTTTCTGTGCTTCCTGATTTACTGGATAAACTGGGGACAGGGCACTCCTGGTTCTGGGATTTTTCTCTTTGGTTTCAGACAGCGTATGTCCACTGACTTTGTAGCTTGATGTCTAAAACACAATAACTGGATTTTCAAGTGTTACAAATTCAACCTTTCTAGAAAGCAGAGTAATTTCAAAACTGAAAAAATAACTGTATGTTGAAGTAGGCAATATTACAGGACTGTCAAACCTTAACATTCCCCCCCCCCATTTATTTCTAAGTAGTTAATTCTTCAGAATTACTGAGTTCAGATACTGTCTAAAGTTTGTTTACAGTGAGTACCTGAGTACTCATCTTCTGATCAGTAGACTTAAGTCAACTGGCTTGTTCATTCTCCAAGACAGCTTGTAGGCTTCATGTGATATTTTTCCCTCTCCTGTATTGACAGAAATGGAAAGTCACAAAATGCAACTTCTATTGCTGCTTTTTGCTGCTGAATGAATGCATTGTGAAGGTAACTAATGTAAATTAGGGAATGAATTCTTGTTCTTTCTTCAGCACTGCACTTTCTGTAGCATACAAATTTTACTTTGCTTCAGTGACTGCTTAATTTTTATAATTGTTGTTATTAAAAAGGACTTCTTTCCATTCCAGTCACAGTATATTTTCAATCAGGCTACTGAGGCTAACTGATGAGCATCAGCCGTGTGTTCTTGGAGTTTCCGAGTAAGTGAATGCTTCAGCTGATTACCAGAATGCAAATATTTTAGAACAGTTGATAAGGTGTAAGCATGCTAAACTGGTGAACTTTCTTTTAATAAACAAATCCTCTGAGAAGTGAGAAGGAAATCAGAACTCTGCTGGCTGCATAAAACTGAATGGAAACCTGATAGGGACCGGCATAGAAGTGTTTCCTCGTCTCTTTTATTCTGTTAAGGTTTGGCTGAAAAACCTGTTAAAACTCTGTCAGTAGTACATAAATTGAGGCAAATATATGTATATTGTCTTACATAATGGGGAGGTGGGGACAGAGTAGTACTAGGTAATACCACACTAAATATTCCGGTAAGCAGAATTCAAATGGCTGGCTGATAGAAGCCAGTCTCTAAAGTTGGAGTGCAGCAGTTAGTGCTGAAGACCCAAGGTGCAAGCTATGCCAGTGTATCTTTCTACTTTGGGACCAGACTAGAGTTTATGGGTTGAATGTTTGTGGCACCACATTTGATGTGCTCCTGGAACACAAATTCAAGTCTATTATCCAAAAAGAATGCAGGGGACATGCTCTGGGACTGCTCCATGGTATAATCTATAGTAAAAGGGGGTCATCGGGTGATTTGCTTAAAAACTGTTCTCCTGATCTAAAATGCTAATGTAGGTGCACCCAGTGAGAGCAGTGTTAAGTCCTTACACCTCTCTGCTCTTTTGTGATTTAGAGGAAGTGGCCTAATCTTTTGGCTTCAAGCCATTTAGATAGCTTTTTTGGTGTCGTCCCCCCCCCCCGATTAATTGTCCATTTAGCTTGATATGGAAAAATGAGGACGGTCCCGTAACAGCGTGTTTTTAGTTCAGTCCTAGTTTCTACTGATTTCTCTCTTGTCTCTGCTGAGCAGAGATAGTAATAAATATACCTCACTGAGATAACACCTTTTAATGTCAGATGTTACAGTGATAAATACTCTAAGGAAAGATAACTTGAGGAAATGGCTGCGTCTGTGTTCCTTGCTGTTCCCTGTCTTGGTGTGTTCCCCTGGCAAAGCTTGCAGCAGCTGTTAGATGAATGACAGAGTTTGTATGTTGCTTAACGAAGAAAAAAACTCTTCATCTTTTACTGAAAGGGATAAGGATCATAAGATCATAGCCTTTCATACAGTTGAACTATGTGCCTTATTAATGTGTAGTATTAATATGTACTTACTTCAGCTGTGTGAAAGGCTATGATTTTACAAAGGTGTTATTTTATGTAAATAAATGTATGTATAAGTGAGTAATAGTTGGGTTACATAAATTATCTAACTTCCAGAGCTTCCTGTATTTCAAGAGCTTTCTTAATATTAAGTGAAAGTGATGAAATTCTTTGATTATCCAGGATAACTGTCTCTGATTGTAACTTATAGTACTGTGAGGGACACTTCAGTGGCCTGAGTTTAGTAGCACATATGAGTTTAGTAGCACATAATTGCTATAGCCAAAGAGCTCTAAGGTGATCTGGGAAAGACTTCTGGCCTCTTATTTGCAGTAGTGAACAAATGGTTCTGTGTCCAAAAGAGGCAGGCTGCAGTGTATTGAAGCATACTACTATTCTGCAATCCTCTCGGTGCTGGAACTGGTGAAGGTGACGGTCAAAGTGCTTCTGTAGTATAGCCCCGCTATGCAAAACTGTTTCAGAAATTCCTCTTCTCTTGTCTGGAAGTACTTACTTCAGGATTGCAACAAAATTTAGGTTCCTAAACTGAATTATTTATGTAAGAATGCCTATAAAGTTTTAAATGAACGCTACAAGCAGACTTCTTTGAATGTGCTGAATAGACAGTCTTAGGAGCAGCAATCTTGTTCAAGTATCTTTAAATACAATGGGAAGATAGATAGGTTAATGCTGTTACCCTAAATACCTTGTGTAGTGCCTTCTGGACAAAACATCAACATTAAAGTGCAACTTATTCTGTGATCTAGGTAGGCTGAAATGACTCATTCATTTACACTTTAGACACATAAAGAAATAAAGACATGTAGTTCTATTTTCATACTGCTTAGAAACAAGTTTATATGTGTGTTCTGGATAATTCTTTCATCCAGGTTGTCTTTCTGTGACTTGGCTGGATCAGAGAGGTGTAATAAAACACAAGCCTTTGGAGACAGACTAAAAGAAGCAGGAAATATTAATAACTCTCTTCATATCCTTGGAAAATGCATTGCAGCATTGAAGCAAAATCAAAATCCAAAGTAAGTGACAAGTTGTAAACAGCATGCTGAGTTTTGGATTGAAAACCTAAGCATCCCTTTATGTTTCTGCGAGGGGTTTGCATGATCAGAGGAAAATGGGAATCTACAAAATCTTGTAAGCCTTCTTTACTACACATGTCACTGGAATACCTGAAATACATGTATCTGTTGTTTGTGGAGAGTAAAAAAGGGCAATTAGCAGCAAACTACCAAGCTCCTTTTTAGTGTTTGTGTATGAGCAATACACTTTGTGTACAGAGCTCCCGTTTTGTCCTCTTCCCTTCCACCTCCAAATTATACATGTAGATTCATCAGACAGCCAACAGATGTCCTGTACCTAGCTTTTGGCTTGTTCCAGTATCTGCTTTGTAACACTAGGGAACTGTGATGCAGACACTATACTAATTTTACTTTTAAATACTTCAATTTGTTGGAGATCTTATGAGAGCCAGGAAAGACCTTGCTCTTTGATGTGGAATAGCTTAGGCTTAAATATAAGCATCCTGCTGGATCTGTTTCCTGAAAGAGACAAACACAATTAAGCTAAGTTGCAGTATCACACAATTTTACAGATTTTGTTTCACAATTTTGTTATTCTTTTCTCCACGAGGATGAAGCCAAGCTATATTCCATTCAGAGAGAGCAAATTGACTCGTCTGTTTCAGCCGTTCTTTTGTGGAAAAGGCAAAGCTTGTATGATTGTAAACATTAATCAGCATGCTTCCACATATGATGAAACACTACATGTAATGAAATTTTCAGCTATAGCCAAACAGGTAAGAGTGCATCTACTTTCACTGCTATTCTGCATTCTTTGTTACTATTGGTTTGTGAAATGATCAGGCTGTATGGACTCGAGTGTGATTAGGACTTTTGATGCATTGTACTCTTCTGCGTGTGGCTTCCCTCTAAAAGGCTTACAGTAGTGTTGCACATCCTCCAAGCTATTTGTGGTAAGAAGTTAAGATCTCTGCAGCTATCTGTGGCTTGTTCAGGTCTACCCATTTTTTGTGTGAAAAAAAAAAAAAAAAAAGGCACTTTCAGATATGACGGGTTATACCATATATCTGAGCAAATGCAGGATTTCGATTCAAGCTTTTGATGAATTGTTTAACCTGTGTGCAGTTAAGCATCTGTTGCACAAGATGACAATTGTTCAAAACTTCTTGGACAGCTAGCGGTGATAGTAACAGAAATAGCTTTTTTTGTAATCTGAATGAGATCTCTTGTGTCTGCATTGCTGCTATTTGGCTAAGTGCAAGTAATTAATAACAAACAAAAAGGGAAGACTTTTTGTAAGTTAATGCTTGAAGGTAGTGTGCTTCTCTGCTTTGAAGGCAAAACTGCCTCTGCTAAATCTACATGCTTTCATGCTTTCTGCTAGCTGTGCTTGTCAGCCTCCCATTAAATTCAGGACTTGGGGTTGATAGTTGGTTTTAAGTTCAGTCAGCTTCCCTGGAAGCTGCTTCTTGCAGGGAGTGGGATGCTAGGCTGTACTGTGTTTCATGGCAGAAATAAAGTCCATATCTAGTCTGGAACCATGGATTAGTTCTGACACGTTCCGAGACTGTAATGGCATATCTAATATGATCTCAGAGAGAAAGATTTTTCTAATTCTGTTTGGCTGCAACTTTCATCATAAGATAAGAGCGTGCACTGAGGTGACAAGCTTCTCTAATATGTTGTCCTATGACATGCATACTTAAAATCTTTACGTAACTAGCATGAATTGCTGAATCCTGGTCACAGTATTTCAGGAAGGAGCAAATGTTTTAGGGATTTGCTGCTTTTTATTAACTTTCCAGGAAACTACACCAAAACCTTATATTTTAAGAGGGGAGAAAACACCTTTCTAGACAAGCATACTAAGTTTGTTAGTAATAATCTTTCCCATTTTCACTTTGTTAGAGTACTGAAGTCTTTTATTCGTACTGATAGATGGCTTTGTCTGCTAAGACATGTAAAATTTTGTTAATGTTCTTGTAATCAAATACAACAATGCATTCATGCCACTTCTTCCTAGTATTCTGATACCCGCAATATTGACAGCATTGATAAATCAGTGTGTTCAACTCTGGATTTTCCAGGTAATCCAGACAATCCTACCCAAAAATTTTGGTTATTTTCCACCCAAGCTAGTTGGAGGCAACAGCAAACCTATCATGCACTTTGACGCTAACACATCTGTGGATGACTTTCCTGACAGTACTGAAACTTCCGCAGAAGAGGAAGTGGACATCACCATTCTGAGTCATGAGGTAGATACACATCTACTCAAAATGGTACCCAAGAAAGACATTGCTATTAGTTCTAATGTTAGAATCTCTTACCGTAAGAGATGTGCTGGAAGCTGTATCAAATGAGAACTGTAAGCTTCTGCTCAGTGTCAGGCAGACCTAAACTTAAAGTGGTCTAGTTCTGAGGGAACAAGTGTAGTTGTGGAAGGCCGCCTGCGGCTTTCTAGTTAGGTCAAGTGCTAAATTTGGGATTCAACTGATTGCTCAACGAGAAGAGTAAGGAAGCAGTATGTGTGTTTAAACCAACATTATTTAGTCGTTTGTGTTCTTCTGGGAACAGCAGACAGAAGTTAAGATGCAGCATTTTAAAAATAAAGCTATACAATCTAATAGCAATAAACTGTAAAAAATCAAGTAGGCTTTATGCTAAGTGGTTGTACAAATTAATATTTAAATGCCAAAACAGTAGTAAACTCTTGATGGCAGAAACCATCAAGATGGAGAAAGGTTGTCTTTGCAGTAGAAATTCATGTTTGAAAATATTTAACCCTTGGTGTAGCCCCCCTGAAAATATAGCCTTGTAGAAATGCCCTCTGTGGATGGCTGGCTGTATCAATATTTCATTTGACATGCATATCAATGTGTTTCTAGCTTGTTTTCTGAACTGAAATATGTTAAATTTAGGATCTCTTGAAAACTACAGAGAACCTAAAGGAGAAGCTAGTGGCAGAAAGGCAAAGTAAACTCCTTCTGGAGGTGAAGATACGTAGAGAGATGGCAGAAGCAATGTTCCGACAGCTGTTGGAAACAGAGGAAGCCTGGAGGCAAGTCATATTGCAGTCGTCTTCAAGACTGAAAGGATTCCACCTATATAAATGCATACATTTATACATATACACATATGCATGTGTATACATATATATGCAAGATGTATACTCATGTTATTTAGAGAAGTTAGGGCTGGACAGTTTCAAAGTTTCTGATGAAAAGGGAAGAAGAAACAAAATAAACTTGTATAGATCAGCCTTTTCTGTGTACAATGAAAAAGTAATGCTGCTTTCTGTTGAACTTTTCTCTGTTTAATTTGTAATTACTGGAGATTGTCCTGACTCCATATTAGTATTTAGCAGATGTGGAAGACTGCTACAGGTACCCCACTGAGGCTTGTGATTGTTCCAAAACTTGCACTTGCACATGTTAATTATGCGTGCATGTGCTTAAGGTAGTTTGGATTGTATCTCTTTCAGCTCTCCTTCTGGATTCTTGCTCCTGGATGACTTATGAACCTTTGTCAGCTTACTGTCTTATAAATTACTGTGGCTGCCTGCACTGATGTTACTAATTTGGGAATTTTTTTCAAGTGTGTCCAGATTGCTCAAGCTGAATTCTCTTCGTCTTAACTCTTCTCTTCTTGAAATCAGTTTCCTGCTATTTGAATTGCTAACAGAGACTAACCCCAAGTTAAGGTGTCAGCTGGACACACTGTGGTTTAACACCTGCACGGATTTTAAGATTGTGTGGGTAACTTTGACCAAACACATGAAACAGCAGTGATGCTTTCTCTCTTTTGAGGTGATGTTCTGGGTCACTGCTGGGGCATTTTTTTTAAATTGTGACAAGAGTAATGTGTAATGTATTGAAATAATACGGCAAAGTGAATTTGGCATATCTTGAATGGGAAAAAAAACCAACAACCATCCAACAACATGAAAGACACCCCCAGAAATATGCTTCAAATATCAGGTCTAATTGGGTGTAGTAGTATCTATCACTATGTGTTGGTGGATATTTTTTTTAACAAAATTTTTGTTTGACAGATCTTAAATATGCGTTCTTCTATAGCACTATTCTTGGTATATGCCAAGTAGAAGTTATGCCTTGGAGCAAGTCTGTAGGATCGTTCAGAATAAAAAGGAGAAAAGTACTTGGTCTCTTAACTTCACAATTTATGATTAATTAATAACTTTGATATTGCCAGTTGAACACATGTAGTCAAATTGTAATAGCTGTAATGCTAATATATTAAATAAAACTAACATGTTCTCCTCAGCAACCGCTTGGAGGATATGAAAGACAGTTATGAAGAAAAACTGGAGAGCAAATTTGAAATGTATAAAGAGGCCATCAAGAAACATGCATATGTGTGTGCAATGGAACAAATTGAAGACCATTATGTTCCCATAGAAGAATTTCTAGCTGAACAAGAGAAAGTTGAGGTATGACTTGACTGCTGTTAAAAAATGTGTGCTAGCCTTCTAACTGTAAATTTTGCTTTTCCTTAACAGAATCATTCAGGAATCCTAAATGTAACACTGAACGGTCAAAATAACTAGCAGTTCAGCCTAGCTGTTCTGGTGTCCAGTGCTAACCATAAGGATAGAGATGTCTCATGTCTAACACTACCTGTAGCGTATGCCTAAACTTCCTGATCTTTGAGGGCACAGTTCAATCAAATCCAAGTCATCTTTTATCTCTGTAGTACAATGATTGGAACACCTAGAGGGATGGTGAAGACAGCAGTCTGGCTTTGTGGAGATCCTTGAGATTGTAGGGTATAGAGTAAAAAGCTAGTCTGAAAGGGCTGGTGGGGAATTTAGTACAGGGTAGCTATTTTAATTATAATGGATCTCTGCTCTGAAAGTCTAGAGGGAGGATTGTGGGATAAGAAACTGTGATGAGAAATCAAGTTTTATGCAGGAGAGAACTTAATCTCCTGAATGTACGTATACCTAGAACTGTTCAGACTTGGCATCAGTAAGTTGCTATTCTTTTTGTAAATGAGCCACGTTAGCTACGTGCAACTCTATCAGTCTTTACCTCTAGCCTTTGCATAGGTAGCGAAGTGTATCCAGGCAACAGATGAGACCTGTAGGTCTCAGTCTTTTCAGAAGGTCTGTTAGTGGAAGAATAGAACAACTGTGGTGTACACCGGAGGTGCTTTCTCACTGCACTCTTCTGTCCAGGAACTGCTAAGACATCTCACTCCATTGGTAGGCAGGTGCCTTTCAAGACATGAGGGAAGTGGGTTTCTGTTGTAGATTGTGATATATAAACATTTCTGCTTTTACAGCTCTCCATTCAGGTGCTGACAAGCAACACTGTATTGTGTAACATGCTCTGTTTTTCCAGCTCCTTCACACTTGTCTTTTTTTCCCCACTTAGATTCTGTTTTTATGTTCACTTAAGGCCTAGCTATACATCATGTTGGGATGGAGGAAAAGGGTTTTAATAGTGCTCTCTGTATTTAGAGCTACCTCTTATGCTGGCCACAAGGCTGCATAAGGGAAGATTCAAAGAACAAGGTGGTCTTGATAGCAAGTCAGATAAACTGATGAAATTCCCAAGATGTAAAATTCTTAATTGACAAAGGAGAGTACAACATGAAATCTGAGCAGGCAGCTTCAGAGAACCAGAATTAGATGAATAACTCTTCTTGATGGTGACGCTTGTTTGATTTCTCACTCTGAAATACCACCCTAGCAATCTGACAGGTACTAAAAAAGAGATTGAGATTAAAACTTAGTTCTATGAAATACTTTCTTCCTCACTTAGCAAGCTAACTGGCAACAGTGTTTAACACAGATGCACTAAAGTTGCCTTTCTGCCGTATGGTTACTTTTAATACAGTTTGGAAACCTTTAGACTGGAAGAGTTGACTCCTGTGTAAAGTAACTTCTTCCTAGACGGTCTCATGATCTGAGTGTTATTCCTTACTGTGATTTCTCAACTATAACCATCACAACTTCCACCTGCAGTGATTTTAAAACTGCATATACATGTGCAGTATAATTGAAGGACGTGCAGTACTGCATCAGGTTAAGCAGAAATTTAGACAAATTCTACCATGTGCCCTTCTTTTTTCAGGATAGAGAGAGTAAAATACTGCAATTGGAAAGGCAACTTGATGAACAGTCAGGGAGGCTGTTGGCTCTGGGAAGTGAGAATTCAGATATACTGACTACTGAAAATAACATGGAACTAGGTAGGAATCTAATCTGGATATTCAAAGTGCAATTTACTTTTGGTATTGTGTATAAACAAGCAAACTTTTCTTTTGCCTATAGATCGTATGAACAAGATGATGAGGAGAGCCAATGAAGGATTGCAGAAGCAATGCAAAGAGAAAGAAGAGGTAGCTCTTACTTAGTCTTTAACAAATCTGGGGATAACAGTCCTAAAGTCTGGCATGGTTCAGTGCTTAAAGATCTGCACTGTAGACAAAAGCATGAAGATTCCTGCAAACTGGCATCAAGTTTACAAAAAAGCCTTTGCCCAGTTGTGGGTGACTTTTGCCAGAAATTGGCTGTGTTCTGGCTTTACTCCGGTTTGTAAAGGCATCTGCTACTATAACGAGTCACATGGTGAACACGATGCGAGGTAGAAGTAGGGGGAAATATATAGCCTTGTATTGGAATTTGTTGTAAACATTGCTGCCATGGCCTCAGTGCTTTCCTTCCTGAAATGCTGCCTGCTCACGCACAGGGGAACAGTAATAGAATATGGTAACAGTTCAGATCTAGAGCCAAAACAGTGCCTTAAACCAGTCCTTTCTGTAAGTATTGAACTCCACTATCCCCTTAAACTTAAGTAAAGGATGTCTCTGTTCTTCAAACAAACAAGATGCCCGTGTTCCAAATAGCATATAGAGGTGGAAATTATGAGCTTCAGGCTTTGTTATGGAAAACAAGTATTAATTATTTTTTGGTATGCATTTTTAGTCTATACCTTGAATGAACTTCTTGTAAGGCTACAGTTAGTTTCACATGTTTAAAGAGGAGGGGAGAAACAAGCCTTGCTCCTTTCACTAATAACAAGTAGGAGTAGGGGTTGGAGAAATAGTTCCAGGTGGTTCTAATAAACCATGTAAATGGAAAGTGAACTTAAATCCCTTTCTATTGAGAGAGTACTTCAAAAATAACTTTTTCCTTACCAAGTTTAATGTCTCGTGTTATGGCCCTGGCATTTGTTTTCCACTCCTGTTCTTGAGCTCTATGTAATTTTCCATTTTCTATGTCAATTTTGAATTTTGATGCTAGAAAGAAAGTTTGGCTTTTATGCTTGATATGGGGATACAGTGTTGATTATTTTGTGTGGCTAGAAAGTGTTAGAATGATGGGACTGCTGCCTGGCAATAACTGAAGTGAGAGCAGTTTAAAGCAGTTGGTTCTGTCAGTGCCCTTCTGCTTTGCCTCACGTATCTGTGCATGTATGATGAGTAATTCACTATTTTTTTTTCTTCCTTTCCATTCAGCCATTAAACATGGGCAAAGGGGATTTTTTGGCAATCTAATTTACTTCTACAAGGTTGGAGGGAAAATATCTAATGATGTAACATTAATTTTGCTGGTTCAGAGTTTCTTTTCCCTCTCAGGACTTGGTCCATCAATATTCCCATCAGAAAGGTGAGGTCTTCTGTTGTAACTGTGCTCCAATTCATTATATGAATAGTGTTAATGAGACGAGAGCATTCTTTTAACTACCCTTACTGAAAAGGAGCAGACTGTTCCAGAAGTAGCTTAGTCTGTGCTGCAGTTCTTTGATTGACAGGTCTGTGTAAATCTAGTAGCTTCAGCACAATAGCCGTTGAATGCTCCAGCTATATTTTATCACCAGAAATGATGGGTTGGGACACAAGAGGTTGAGAGAAACAGGCTTTGTCTTCATTGCTTTGATCTTGCAGTTTGCACTGTTCAATATTAATCAGAAATGCTTACGGTGTCTGTATGAGTTCTAGTCATAAACAAAATCCACGTAAAACATGCTGTCTTGAACTTCAGTGCGTATGGGCTTTATTTTCAGCTTATAAAATCTCTGAAGTTTAAAATACAGAAATTAAATGAAACCCTGCTAGAAGCTAATGAAGGCTATAGAAAAATGGCAGAAGAGAACAGTCAACTGAAGCATACAATCATGCTCAAGGTTTGTCAACAATTTAAAAGCAACTTTAATATGGCTTGTATCTATAGCTGTACTGATATTTCTGCATCTTTGTACATGTAAAAACATAGTTCAGTCTTATTAATTTCTTTTGATGTTACCATAATGTTTTTAATTAAGTTGGTTTTTTTGCTTTCTTTTTTCTGTCCCTAACTTCCTGAATTATGAGCTCAGAACCCTTGTGTTTCACTTTCTATCTTGTAAGACAAGACTCATTTTTCAGTTTAAATGATAGACTTGGTCAATAGGGTAACTTTGTGCTGACAACTCTTGCTAATCTAAAGATGCCACAAATTATTGTCAAGCAAAGAAAATACTACTCAGAACTCTAGTCATGAAGTGTTTTGTGGAGGGCAAGCAAGTTTTCACTTCACAAATGTTGGTGCAACAAGACCTAAGGATCTATGGCTTTAAAACTATACTGGCACTCCTGCAGAGGTGGCCACGCTGGATAAGAGATATGGGCAGGTAAACTACTTAATACTGAAACAGAATAAATCTTTCCTTCAAAAGCAGGGACTTCATAAAGTTGACAGCATCTGAGCTCAGACATCAACTAGATTCCTAAATAAAAAAAATGCAAATTTTGAACTCTTGACACTTTGCATCTGTGCCTCATTTGTAATCTGCAAATGAAGCAAGGCAGATAGAAGACTGCTTAGTGATGTTTTCTTTGAACATTAAATTACCTTCCTCGTGCTTTTTAGTCTAATTCTGAGACTGAAAATTATTCATCTTGAGCTTTTGTTTCTGAATTGTTTCTAAGACATAGGAAGGTGACTTTTTTGTTAACCACAAGGATTAGAGAGCATCTTTAAGACCATATTCTGCCCACTCAAAGCATTTATTCAGTCCTGGTTAGTAGACTTACGACTATGATAAGAGTTTTGATTTGACCAGTTTTGCTTTCAGTAATTGCAGCTTAAGACAGGAAAGCTGCCTTTATTTGTTTCCTAGAACAGCAATTCTTTGCATAGTGTGGCTAAGCATTTTAGCATCAGCTTCTTCAGTCAGACTTAGAACTCGATCTGATGATGACCCTGTAGTTTGCTATTCTCTAAATTACATAGCAGTAATTCAGAAGAAATGGGTTCTGAATAGCCATTTGGCATAGTAATAACAGGGATGTTTACTGGTATAGTAAAATAACGTGAAACAGAATTAACTACATGAAAAAGACTTTGGAGCGTTCACATACCTCACACAGCCTTATCCTCATAGGATCAAGAAATGAATAGTCTTCAGAACTGGGCTAAACGTGTTCTTGAGCTTGAAGAAACAGTGTCTTCCCTGCAAAAAGAACTTGACGAACGGAAAAAGCATTTCTCTACAGAGGAGCCAAAACAACAAAAACCCAGGAGAGGTTTGTTGGCTAACCTGAAATCCACAGTAGCAGCCACTGCTAGTACACCTCTTGGTAAAGGCTGGGGGAAGTATGAAGATGCTTCATCCTCTTCGAGAAAACAAGTACTGTTGGCTCATAAAGCAAAAGAATAATATTTGATTAATCAAAGTGTGCAATTACTGGGCTTCTTTATCAATCTTAAACTGTTGGTAGCTTTTTCTCACTCTAGATGCCATCTTCACTGTCATGTTAACTAACAGAAAAATGTTTAATACAGAACTTTTAAAATTGAATCAGGGTTGAATTTAGAGCTATGTAAGTACAGACCTAACTTGTGCTTTTACTGTTGATATAGGGATGTGATTGTATAAAATCTTAATTCTTGAGTAACTGCTATCATGGTCTTCTATACTGATAAATGTGTGATTCCTGCAAAGTGGGGTGTTCCTCATCGACCTCCCTTGTTACCTTTTAAAATTAAGAATTTCACTTTCATTGTTGATTCCTAGAAATCAGATGGCTTGTAAGCTTAATCTCAACTAGTTAAAAATAGCTTGGTTCTTCAGTTAATGTTCTGGCTTTGATCTGGAAAGTGCCATCTTGAGACCAAACTGAGCAAATTGCTAAACATAAGGCCTCGTAAGAGGAAACAAAATGAGGTTCTGTCTGGCTCCTTGCTATTTTTCAGCTAACTTGGCTTTGTAAAGGAACTTGTTTTAGTATCATTTGAATTTCCACTAAGAATATGCATTAAAATTTGAAAACTCTAATAAAATTTTTCCATTGCTAAATTAAGCTCTGACTGTTTATTTTATAAAGGTGAAAAAAAATCGGTGAAATCAAGTTAAGGAAAGATCATAAACTTAGAGGCCAAATGATCATAGTGATTGACATATGATGATCTTGAGTTGAAAGAAACATAGCCCTGATTATATTACTTACCTTAATTAGTAACTCAAGGAAGGAAGACTGGAGCATGATAAAATTTGAAATAGCTTTCTTAGAGCCATTTCAGTCAGCGAGGGTGAGAGTTTTCTCTAACTGCTGTGAAAGTACCATGCCTGTAAGTGCTGGAGGATTGCTGTGGAACAAGGCAGAACTCGTAAGTAAATGGGACTGATCAGTCCCTGTAATGCCGTTTCTCATAGCGGAAGGGGACCCAGTTCAGAGCAAGAACCTCACCCTCCCTGTGGAGACACTAGGTGGTGCAGCCTCCCTGCGTGACACCGAGAACAGCCCTTCTCGGGTGTGAATGTTCTTGCCAGGTCTTTTGAGTCTTGGGTTGGTCTGTGCAAATGCAGTGATAAGTAACCACCCCGATATGTCTTCAACCAGGCTGGAGATGTAGCACTTGAGCCAGTGCCGTCCTCGTGTTTTGAAGCGTTTCTGTTAAATATCGGTTATCTGGCCCCCTGTAGTCCTACAGGCCTACACTCCCTCCAGGGTAGAATGTCTAAAGTATTATTCTACTCCCCACAAACTGTTCCAGCTATTAGAAAATATCTTGGTGTAGTGATAAAATAAACTGAGCGTTGATTCCTTGAACAAGAAAGCTGTTACACACAAATTGCTCTAAGAACAGCAATATTGAAACAGAAGTTAAAAAAAAAAAATCATAACAGGCTAATGCTGGAAACTTTCTATAATACCATTTCAAACCATCTAGTGCTACACCTTGACAGTCTGTTACTTGTCTGAGAGTGTATGTTAGCAAGTTCACATAACACTAACTATAACCTCTTACTCCCTGAGCAACTGCTGTTTCCATGTTCCCTCCCACTTCCCAGAGCTCTTTGGTTGGCTACAGGAAATGGTTTGAAAGACAAGGTTCCACTATCTTAAGCTATCTTTTTTCCTTAAAATAAAATGAAGCCTGTAGTGAAGTACAGTTAAGAATTGGTCCGTAATGTTTTCCAGAGAGTTCAATGGACTATGTTGCTATTGCATTAAAGACTTCTAAGAAGCTGTTTTAAAGGACAGCTGAGGACTGACTTCCTATCTTCCTGCCCTCCAGACCAAAAAGAATCCCTAATGAGGATGCAGAAATGGCTGGTTCGGTCCTTTTCAGCTTCTCAAAGCTGAATGGATGTAAGGAGAGCCGAATCCATTAATATTTAGCTTTGCAAAATAATCGTGATAGTGGTGATGAACAGATGTTGCCCTGTTCCACATGAAGCTACCACTCTGGGTAGAACATCAGCCATTTGTTTCACCTCAAATTACTACCACACAACTTGCTTCAGATTAAGTGTTTATTAAAATTAAAAATCACCATACAATAGAAACTATTTACATATTTAACTGATAGTCTGCTTAAACCGCACAGTTTGACTGAAGGAAGCCAATGGAAAAGAAAAGCAATTAATATTTATGCTGCTGAACTTCAACTGCAGGCACACTGAAGCTTTATCAAAAGGGTTTTAAGCTTCTGCAAAGTACCATTTGCCTAAATAACTGGGCTGAGGGGTGGCAAAGATGTACTGGGTTTCAGCTGTAAGAACCAGTGTCACTTTGGGGGGAAAAAACGTAATCTGTGCTGTAGTTACATTGCAACTGCACTAGCTCAGCTGTTTTGGTAAGTAATTTGGTGATAGAACAATTCAATATGTAGATCTTAGCAAACTGCATTCACTTTTATGAATTAGATGTATATACTGAGCACCAAACCTATAGTGTCACTGCAATGTAACTTGATATCCTATTGCATATTTCCACAAATTGTTTTTGATAGTGCTAGAGCTAGTTTTAGCTTTAAAACAGATTTGAGGTTAGTTGATTAAAGCAGCAAAAAATATAAGGAATTTTCTTGAATAATCACAGAGGATTAAAAATTAAGATTAAAATAGTAAACAGTCTCAGCGACTGCAATGAAAGTATTAACTTCCTTCAAAATCCTGTGCTTTCCCATGGACTTCAGATGATGACTTTGGCCTTGTGGGAAACTGAAGGTTGAATACAGAGCTAGGTGTGCTGCCGCTTCTGCCATCGTGTGTGTTCATATTGCACTTCTGCATCTGTGATGGCTGTGCGATGCTTTGAAAATGATTTTAAATTTGAGTAATACAGCAGTAAAACATAATCATCTTCAGCGTACAGAATTACATACATAACCCTTCCTTAAAGGAAACCATGACACCATTTAGAAAGTCTTACAAGAGGTGACAGTACTCCAACTACTAACGTGAAATAACAGGGATATAAAAATAATCTTCACAATATGCTGTATTTCAAAAAAGATAATTTAAGAACACCACCATGTCTTAAATCTTTATGTTCTCCTTCATGACTTTTTCTTTTGGAAACAGCCGTTCACGCATCTTCTCGCCCCTTTTATAAAGGTCTCCTTGTAATGTAGTCCATGACTTAGATCCTAAGGTGGCTTTGTCAAACTGTACCAGTAGACAATCTCTTTCCTTCCTTCTCCCTCCCCACCCCAAAAAGCCTGCTTGGTTTGGGATGTTTCTGCAGATGCAAAACAGAGCATTTAAGGAGAACTTCAATCTTTAGAGGAACTGTTTTAACCAAATAAAAACATCATTATTAGTTCTCTGCAGAATTACTCTTTCCTTCAGCATTTCAGCTTCCACACTCGGTTAAGACATCCACTTGGTTTGAGCAGTCTGTCCAAACGCTAGTCTGTGCCAGTGATCCATGTCAATAGAAAAAGTGTTCTTTGTTCTACGGCTGTTGTTGATACTGCCCTTCTGTTGCTGTGTAGAAGTCATCAAGCACACTCTGTAGATAATCAAATGTTGGCCTTTCTTCTGCTTTGTCTTTCCAGCATGTTTTCATGATATCGTAAAGCTCAGCTGGACAGGTTTCCATGCGTGGCATTCGGTACCCGCGCTGAAGAGCAACCATCACATCTGAATTGCTCATACCTTCAACAGAAAAAGAAAGTTTTGATCAACTGATCGCAGTTCCTAAAGAAATGATTTAGTCTTTTTTATTTACTTCACTCTAAAGATCTTCACCCAATAATGCAAGGCTGTTACTACTTATTAAAGGTAGCTACTAATATGAGTTCAATATACAAGGCTCAGGTGTGCACCGGCACCGAGGGACTTGCTTTGAAAATCCTGGGGGAAGATTTCTGTTTCCCCAGTTGAGTGTAGCGACCTCTTTAGTGCCAAGTCTAACAAGACTGTGGAAGAGATCATCATTCTTGTCTCCAGAACCAGCTCCGTTCTGTTCCTCTGACCAGTCCCGCCACCGTTTGTTCTTCTTCCAGCGATGGTGAGATTCACAACAAAAACCTACCCTGGCACCAGTCTTTGTCTCCAGCTGCAGAGCTTCTAACCTGCTCGCTGTAGACCCCATCCATACTAAGATGGAGAGCAGCCTACCTGTTTGACCACGCTCCCAGTCACCCTGCTCAATGCAGTAACACGCTTTCAGATTTTCTTCTACATCAGCTTTTGTGTAAGTGCTGCTGATTGCAAGACATTGGACATGGTCGCTCGTGATATCATTACTTGTAACGGGCAATTTCCCCTCCCTTCTTCCTTATCCTATTCCTATTGTGCAAAACCGTCTTGCCAGCGGTGCTGAGCTTTGCTTTGTTTCCCCGTTACGGTTTTCCTTCAGTGGATAAGAACTCTAACTAGCAGAAGTGCATCCTGAGCCTCACATGCCAACTAACGTCACGTGAGAGAGGCCTGCCTTGGACTCCATCCTCCCCCTCTCTTTTTCCTTCATGCCCCCCTCCTTTTTTAAATCCTTGAGAGATTGGTTCACAGAACGATTTCAACACCTACTGTCAGAAGGTCAGCTATGGCGGGGCCAACAAAAAGGCTCACCACTTCCTACCCAGAAACCTGCCTTTCAGCTCGTCCCTTTCTCTGCAAATCTTATGCAACCCAGTGGAGTAATTGTGCCAGGATTACCTTCTCCAGGACACAGACTCTAAGCTTTCTGTACTCCAGTGAATGCTGTTTCTTCTGATGACTGGGCATGCAGGAAGCACCTGTGCTTCAGCCTAGATATTTGCTACCACCAGTGAAGACTTTCCCTCTGTCGAGAAAGGTATTCCAGACCGCTCAGCCGCTGGCCGCTCCTCAGGCTAAATGCTCCACGTGATGCAGTTCTGCCTAAGACTACAGTTTCTCATGGTTTTTCTCAGGCAATTCGGCCTCCGGTCAGGTGCGTGGGT